GGTTTTTAGTCGTCGAAACTTGCGTAGTCCTCAAAGAAGATGAAGCAGCACGTCGGCGGCTCGAGCATCGGATATCCCTTTTACGAGAGGCGGACAGGTCCGTTATTCATTCCCCGACTCGTACGATACCAACGTGTACGAAGTACCACCTTGCCGGAAGTACGCGCTTTCAGTCGCCGAGCATTTGTTGTCATAAATTGTTAACCGCGTCATTACTCGCGCGGACGTCGTAAATAAAACAATGTTGCAGTTGTACAAATCAATTTCGGAATTTTCAATGGGCGTTTCGTGGCACGGCGGCGAGGAAGATTCGCGAGCTTAAACAAGAGATTAAGCAGCTTCTTTACGAGAAATGTGTATTTCGTTATGTCTCTCTATAAATTGATATGTCCACGTCGCACAGTCGCGCAATCAGTTCCCGCTCCTTAAACTACGCGCACGAACGCTCGCACGCATATGCACGCACTCACGCACGCGCACACCGGTTATCGAACTGCGGATTTGCATAATGTGCAACGCGAGACGCGTGATTAAATGAACTGCACGTGCCGATGACGACAAGCGCCAAAATACCATGCTCAATCGTTCTGTATGCAGATCTGAGCCGTCGAGCCGATTCTAAACGGTGGCGGTGATGCGTCTCCTCTCTGAAAGTCGGTCGATCTGACTGGTTCCAATCTGATTAGTGAACGCGAACGGCGAGCAAAACCGGGACACGGCATCCACGACGCGAACTTCGCCCACGGTCTCCTTTGCCGGTCGGTTGTATATAAGGAGGTTTGTTCCCAGGTGAAGGTAATCATATTCCGCGTTCCACGATAATGGTGAACGAACGCAGCCTCTGGGCTGTAACGGAACCTCTGCCACCAGCCTGCACCCCGGCCTCTGTGTCGGACCCGTGTGGGTGCACCTATAGCTTAGCTGCACCTCCATACCCTCTCTAAGCCAAACTCCTATGTTGCTGCAATTATCGCACGACCGGCTGTTATCTCGGCAAGCACCGTCCTCCTCCCCCACGATCGTTATCGTTACCATCTTGTTCCTAAGCGCGGACAAGGCGGACTAGCCTCTGAACTTGACCTGACCTCGTGACCAGCCGCAATCGGGCCTGGCACCGGCCGGCAACGTACATACAACGCGAACGCTAATAACAATTAATTTGCTGCTATCCACAATTCAATGAATACTTACTCCGCCATCGGCGGCTGGAAACCTCACGTGAAAAAGGATCCCGTTGCGGTTGCAGGAGCTCGATAGCGATCGTTATTATTACTCGGCGTGAGGGTTACCTCAGCGTGAACGAGCCGGAGAGTAATACGCTCGCGGGATAATCACGACGCATTAATTAGTGTATTAATTAGAGCGGAGGCGTTGCCTTACTTCGCGTTTAACGTGCTACACTACTCACTCTCGTTGTTGTTGCTGAGAGTGGTATTACTCGCCGTTCTGAGCCTCGTCCAACGTAATTTATCGTGAGCGTGAAAGTAAAATCGGGCAAGGCTCTCTTTGCTTCGACATTCGTTAGCGTTGCCGTTTTTGAAGTTCCTCGTAAATTATCGTCGACAATACCATTCTCGTCGATTCAGAATGCTCGTGCTGAGAAACCTGATGACTGTTACAACCGGATTGACCATAAATTATCTGTGACTGTGCTAACTGTTCATGCTCGTTAAATGTGCAAGCTTATTTGAGAAGAACTCTTATTTAAAAAAGTACATTAGTTTTATGACATATTTCTTAAAATATGATTCAATTCTTCAATTGTGAATAATAACTTCTTTGTTGAGGTTTATAAAAATCAGATCATTTTTAATAGACGATTCTTGTAGGAATTGTCTCTAAATAAAATCTATATACAAATACGAGCTCCAGTATTTGTGAAAAATATGTAATGGAGAAGAATAGCGATGTTTTTGAATTCATTGTGCCAGATATTAAATATTTAGAGAACGGAGAAAACATTTCTCTATATTTTGAATAATTCACACGTAACCGCAGTAAATTATAATCGACAACTCGGAGAGGAGCGGATCCCGTTACGAGCGAGCACTCGGGCTCTGAGTTACGAGGATTCGGAGAGAGTCAGTGGTTTCCAGCGCGTGCATACGTAGCACGTAGCACGTATACGATCGGTGGTCGTCAGCGCGTGCTGCAACCGGAAGATGTCATCGCCGGCAATTACGACCGGAACGAACGCAAATTTATCGGCGACAAACATGCCGCGCGCAGCTCGCAGGCCAGACGCGACGCCGCCGTCTGCAACGATGCACTTGGATGCGCGTCGCGCCTTGTAAACGCGCGCATCCGAAGACACGGTGCCTTCCGTCGCGGCGCGGCCGTACCGAGAGCGCAAGTGGAATTAGTCTCGGTTCGACGGACGCGCCTACCGCTCGTTTCTGGACGAGAGCAAGATGGAAAGTAATGCACCTTACGACGAATCAGGGTGAATCGACGAGAATGCCGATCGTGCCAATCGAGGGAAAGAGAGAGAAAGAGGGAGACGAAGACCGGCCGGTGCCGGAATGGAGCCGGGCCGATATTTCCATTCACAACGCATCACCACACGGGTGTGTCGTTTCTGGGTTGCGAACACGGCCCGCACGCACCTACCGAACGTGAGATACGGGAGAAATGTGGTCTTATCGGGAGTCATTTCTCGGAAGAACAGACGAATGGGTATGAAAATTAAAAGAGATTAATGACTCGCTCTGAGTATATTATTAAAAATCCCTTCGCTTAATATCTTCAGAGATTTTATTTATTAAAATCCTATTTAGGAAAGAGATCAGAGTTGGCATTTAAATTATATCTTGAGGACAGAATTGGGTAACTTTAAATCTGTATGTATGTATATTGCAAGTGAAATGAAATAAGAACTTGGACCATGTAAATTTAGAAGCTATAATTGTTTCGCGGATTACCGCGAATAAAGAAGCTGCAACGACAGTCGAGTATTACATTTGTAAAGTTCGCAAAAGAAATTCGTATTTCTACAATGCTCATGCGATCCGACCCTGGCCAGCACTCGGGCTGAAGCTATAGAGGTGCGTGCGCGTATTAGCGGTATGCGCTCGTACCCATTCACCGAATTCCCCTGTTCAATGGGCTGTACCGTGAATACGCAATGACGTAAGGGTCCCCGTTGCTTCGCCAGATAGTCTCAACGCATTGCGGACTCAAATGTCCGTGTCGCGGCGCGGCTCATAGCGCGGAAATATCTCGCGGACTTATCCATTGGTGCGAGATTCATTACGATCGGCCGGGATGTAATTTACTGCGCGGCTAGTATGAAACGGACGTTAACGAGCGAGCGCGAGTTTAGGTGTCGCGACTCGCATTGCTTCTTTTTCCATTTCTTCTTCTTCTTCTCCTCCTCCTCCTCTTTTCCTCCTTCTCTGGACTACAATGAGCTGCCGGTGGATGTTCCAGGGGAAGAGTGGCAGAGGAGGAAATATACGTAGGGGAAAAGATGAAGTCGACAGGTAGAAGAGAAACTACCTACGCGCTCTCGCGCGCGCTTCTCTCTTTTATCTCGGTACCGCTTTGTATTAGGCCGCTGTCGCACGGTTGGTATGCGCCGCCGGCTTCGCCAAAGTCCTCCTTTTCTTCCTGCCCAGAGATTCTTATTTTTCCTCCTCCTCCTCCGCCTCCTCTTCCGCCTCCTCCTCTTCCTCCTTCTTTATCGCGTTTACCAGCTAACTCAGCGCTCCTAAGTAATTTCTTTCGGTCAAGAACCCGCAGATACGATCATCGCCTCTTTCCTCTTTCCTCCCTCTACATTGGAACGGAGAAATGTAAACGCGCTGACATTCAATTTTATAGCGCCCATTTGAAAATTGAACTTTTATCATTAACATTTTTTTTTACTCACGCTCTTTTTCGCGCGTCTATTCCCTTATCGGGCGAGCGAGGCTCTGCACCATCCCGCTGGCCAGCGGTATATGAACGAAGGAGGTTGAGCACACAGCGGGCTCGTGCAAACATGCGTGCTCATTCCCACGCACCCACGCCTCTCATAGCTGGCTTACGCTCCAGGTAGACAGACGAATCGCATTTAGCCTCCCGCCGCGACGCGAATGCGTCAAATGTTTTCTCGCGTTGCGAATTTCGCGTCTTGACACCGTGATACATTGTATACCTTAAGGCTAATTCTACCAACACCGATTAACTCTCTACAGCATTTAACCGATTAACTCTGTTCTTTTTCTCGTGACTGTCTGTTTTCCTGACACTGATTACATACAGATACACTAATATATAATTATTAATATATTGTTATTGCTTTATATTATACATATGTTCATTTACATAATTAATACTTAGTCCATTATGTATATTATATCTTATATTGTTAGTCGCGTATGAGATCGAGCTGTGTGCGGCCTGCAGGCTCGCGAGAAGCGATCGGTCAAAGTGCAGAGGTGCGTCTAGCTCCAGACGCGACCACTGTGTCCGTCCAGCTGTCATCCTGTCAGATCAGGGCGAGAGTTACATGGTAGAATGCCACGTGACGAGATAGATATGCCTTTAAGCCGCCTCATGATAGAATAGATAAGCGTACAATGGCTCGTTATACTTTCGCGCGTATGCAGATAACGCGAAAAAATTCTCAAAGCCGTCTGAGTAGGTTTGAATCCAAGCGATGAATCGAGCGATTGCATTTGTGATCTAATACTAAATGATATAAGGCGCCACCCATGTTTGCGTTAGAGAATTTTAATATTATTCATTGGCAGTTGATGATTATTGAATAATCGATGATGTAAATAAACTTCAATTATATTTAAACGAAGACATATATGAAGAATACTTAGTATTCTGTAAGTAACAAATAACTTAAACTTTAAATAGAATTTCGTAATCCTAGCTTCTTCTTAAATTAGCTCTTAAACTAGCCCGACCGCACATTTTATATGTAGCCGCACAAGAGACCAAAGCTTAGTTTATGTTCGCATGGGTAATGTAAGCTAACGAAAGCATCATTTACGTGTTGCAGGGTACGGAAGAAGAGTGCCGACATGTCGGCGTTGAACGCCGCGCTTTGTAGACGCGGAATAATCCTCTGGCTGGCCGCCGTCCTACTGCTGGCGTCACGATCCACGCATTCTGGTGAGTTTTTGCAGAAATGCCTCAGTGTACTTCTAGCTCTCTTTCTTTCGTCTGGCTTCAACGCCTTGGACACGCTTGAGCCGCCGTACAAAACGTGAGTCATTTATTTGATAGAGAGACCGTGAACGCGCGGACTCCCACGAGGAAATAAGAGGTAGACAGGCAAGAAATATTTTCGCTCGCCCGAGAAGACGCGATCGGATTATTTCTGCTTGTGGCTTGCTCGAAGTCAGATTGTATTCCACCGGATCATCCATAAATGCTGTCCATAAATGTAGCAAAATATGCTGGAATCGTAAAAAAAGAAAAAAAAAGTTTTTGCTTCCACTTTGATGTTGTGTTTACTCTTTTTACACTTTGAATACTGACAAGAAGTTGAATATTGCGGTAATAGAGACCAAAGAGAAAAAGAGAGTAAAAGTAATCTCGGATGAAGATGAGAAAAGTCTTTCTCGTAACTCAAGCATGTTTTATTGCATTTATGATGGAAACTAGTTTTCTGAAAGGCAAAAGAAGAGTGATTCTATTAAAGTACGCATATCTCGCGATAAATAGAGTCGGGCGTAAATGCGCGTATACCGTGCATTGAAATTAATTTCTGAAAATCAGAGTCGAGAGCAGAGACGATCACTTCCGTGACCGTCTTTCTTGTACCGTCTGGTGTGACTAACGCAGAGTCGGCCAGCCAATGTTTGAATGAGCGAGCCACGTTCTGTCAGGCCGTCGAACCTATCCGTGTGTCTCCCTTCTTCTCTGGCAACGGGGAGAGCATTACCTCATAATGCTCACCTCTGGCATCGGTCGTGTCGAGGCCCAAGGTGCTTTCCCATGGACCTGGCACACCATATTCGTTCTTCGACCACTCTCGGGTCGCCTTTAGGCGGTCGGTCGCCTCCTTCCTATCGTGAACCTCGTTCCGCCAGGTTCCGCGAACTTCTTCCCTTTACGTCGAGCTGGTTTAAAACGGTACGCCTGGACCTCTCTCGAGTTCTGGTATCGATATCAAAAGAAGACGATCCAGTTAAAACGGGGCCTTCAATTGTCGTCGCTCGTGTCATGAATTATTTCCGGGTATAGAAAAACGATGATAGATTCAGTAGCCGCAGTAATCGACCGCAAATTCGTAAAATGCGTCTCGGTGTCGACAGAAAAAGGCTTCGTCATTCCCGTAATTCGTTATTCGAGAAAGTAATTTCGCATCTTGTGGTCAAGAGGCTGCAAAGAAGACGAACCTATTTCGCACAGGCGCTCATGACGATCGATCGATTGATCGATCAGCCGATAGGGGAGCATTCTCAGAAAAGCTATGATACTATGAACACGACGACGTGCAAAAACGTTGCATCGTCAATGAAGGCTTATTGAAGATGCGTCAGTTTTGCCTCTCCCCTTCATCAATCGGCCGTCGGTGTTTCAGCGAAGAGCAGGTGTGGTTAAACCGACGGAATCGATTGAATTCCACGACTCACCCGGCGTGTCTTCCCTCGTTCTTCTTTCCCTCCTTCCTTCCCACCGCTTGGAAATCGCTAGGCGATTCTGTGACTCTCTATCGCATGCACGCTCGTATCCTTTTTGTTCCTCGGGCTTTTCTCGAGCGGGCAGCAAGGACGATCGAGATCGACGCGTTCGATCACCGGCGATCCATCAGGCGGCGGACAAGTTTTACTGGATTATGTATCTTCCTTTGGACGCAGCGGGCATTTGCGAGATACTTGCATTCAAAGGAAATCAGGAATATCGCCGGCTTCGAGAGGCAACAGGTTTCCATTGTAAAAAAGCGTTTACCTATCGTGTTGTATTACCACTCGCGTAGCAATAATTTTCTTCTCAAGTCGACTGTCTCGAGATTATCAGAATTACTTGATATATTAAATTGCATTTGACGGACTTTTCAAATTAGATTTAAAAAACAGCGAAAAACTACAAGCGACATTCGTCTCTTATGATTTTTTGCAATCGTGTCAAATTGTTACATGTTTGTGTGATCATAATTATTATGCGCGATCGGAGATATGGCAGTTATTAAGTATCGTATAGATATCACTTCTCAGTAATATATAAATAAACGTTATTATCGAAATTCCTTGAGACAGTCATTTATCACACTTGACCAGAATTTATGTTCGATCGGTATTAGTACGGCTCGTGAGTTCCGTTAATTCCCTTCGTCTCTTTCACTTCGTTCAAAATTTACACAAATCGTTTCTTGCATTAGCATCGAAAAAAAGAGAAAGAAGAAAGAAGAAGAAGAAGAAGCAAGAAATACGGCACAATAAAATTTATTTTTTCGGTAAGCGGAGAAATCAATTTCGGAGTCCCACCCGGAAGTGATCTAAGTCTCTGAAGTCAATCGAGAGAAAAAAAAACGCGTCTCGGCGCACGGTCCTCCGCGTAGCGGTTCCTCCAACGGCTGCATCCACGTGATGCTGTGTGAATTCTGGTCAAACCTGTAAGCCCTGAGGAGCAATCAGTCGACATGCCCACATCAGGATGTCATTGACCGCGTACCTCACCGTTCGCCACTTACGGTCCACCGTACGTTATATATCCACCGGAGTCGCATCTGACCCCTAAGGCGTTCCATATTTATGCTTAATGCTTAGCAAAGTGTCGTTATCGTCGAGTATCATCAAACTCTCTCGTGGCGAGCTCGACGCGTCGCAACGGCGCGGAGTAGAATCCGGATGGTATTGCACGCGGCGCGGAGCGCAATAAAAATTCGCTGAGATATATGGTGACGTGGATCGCATACAGTTACGCACATATTAAATCTACTCGAGTGTCTTATGCGAGACGTAATTGTACAAATCAATCTATAAATCTGTTCGAAAGACTTTTACACGTCCGAAACTGAGCGCTCTGCATGGATCCTCCGAATTACGGATCACGAATGAAATCAGATCATACGAAATTCATCAGAAATGAAATCCCCGAAATAAATCTATCGTGCACGGGAGCAAAATAATGAGAGTGTTAAGGGGATCTAATGTGTTTTTGATAGCGAGTGCGAATAAATTTCGCGCTGTCAATTCAGACGAGAAAGAGCTCTCGCCCTAAGAGGGTATAGAAAGGACCCGTTGTAACCGGTACGTCATAAGAGGACTCCACTCCCTCGTCCTCGCGCGCGTACTCTTCAGAGCTCTTCTCTCTTTCTCTCTCGTCTATGTACCTTCTTGACTACTTACTGAGATGGTGAGGTCAGCAGCGGTCATCCGACGAAAGGTATAACGGAACGCGTGGGTGCAACGTCAGCGTGACACGGATTAAATCGGTCGCGATAGATTCATTTTGGAAAATGGGTGTTTCGCTTTCGCAAGGCATAATTTAAGGGCGATATCCGCGCATCCACGGCATCGCATTCAACGTCGGCTAGATCCAATCGCACATACGAAACATTCTCGCGCAACGAAGTGAATCGCGGTTCAAAGATCTCGAGCCCCTTATCGGAAATGAGTGTTTCTTTCCCGAGTCGGGAATTATTCTCATTACCGGACCTAACGGTGCGCGGACTCGCATCATAATGTAGGAAGTGGCAATGAACTCGATCCCGTGTGATTGGGAAGATATAATTTATGATTGTCCTCGAAAGGGGCACCACCGCGCTAGAAACAGTACGGCGCGTATTACGCCAGAACCGGTCGGCCAGGTTTCCACAGCGTTACCTTCCCGATACCCATGACATTGACATTAACATTCTCGTCGATACAAACAAATAGCGTTATTTTTCTGCTCCTTCCCCGTACTTAGTTGGAATTTATTTCGATAAAGTTACACGGCGAGTGGGTTGCGTAATTTCCAAGTAGCTGGCGGTCTTTCGAGATGGGCTTTGCCGAGGAAAGTTCCGACATGACAAGTCTTTCATCTCGCGTACGCACATGCGCGCGCGCGCACGCACGCACACACACACACACACACACACACAAATTATTCCATCATCTTTTTCATCAGTGTGCGAAAAAGACTGTCTTGGTGAGCGCGCAACGGAGGAAACCGCGACCTTGGAGAATGCGTAATGCAGAATTTCGTGCACGCAATACGCCAGGGGCTGGCTGCGGTGCCAGGTGTTCATCGGAGCGTGTGCGGTTGATGGTAATGAACTTTCGCGAGGCAAGGCCGCCGGGAATGATTTCATAACGCGAGCGCAACAGCCCCGTGTTCTCCTGTTCTCCGCGGTGTGTAACAGCATCGTTCGCGCGCGCGTACGCGGAGAAAGGAACAGGTCAGGTCGCGGCACGTTGCGGGAGGAATCGAGAGGGTCGCCCTCGAAGCGGGAGCGAGACAATTGCGGGTGGGGAAACGACACACGGAGAGGAAACAGGAGGACTCGGCGGTACGTTGACTTACATAATGACTCCTCGCGACTCCTCGAGATACACGTATATGTGTGCATGTGCACGCGATATGTATAAGCGCGATCCTCTGTCCTTGATTACGAGCGAGGCGGCCGAAGAACGCATAAATCTCGCGCGCGGAAATTATATTCGAGGGAAGATACGTTTATTTTTGATACCGATAAACTCCCCCACATTGTCCTTTTTCTATGTGACCAAGATTGATTTAGAGTCTACGTTCCGCATACACCTCGAGAGAAGTTTGCGCGAGAGATCTTTAGAGCGTACCTTAGCCGATGCACTTCCGCGCGCGGCTTTGTATGTACAATCTGTTTTATTCGGAACTGCATTTTTGCATCCAGAGGGAACGGAACATTATCTCGCCGCGTGAGATTTATTGGACGACTCTCACTGCACTTCTTCCGAGAGAGGTAATGCGCGATTCGCACCTTTCGATTTCGAAAGGGTAAGAAATAAATGTCAAAAACCGAGCGGATCGACGATCGAAATCATTGTGCTTCATCGCGATGCAATTTGCCGTTATTACAGTCGAAATGCGTCGCGATTTTTTTGTCAGCATCTCCCGGTTGTATGTGCTCAATGTCCCGTTAGTCCGTCGACGGTAATTTATCGTTACCGGTGAAGAAGCGAAGAAAATGCTTGCTCGCGCGGCAAAAAGTTGTCTTTCAGTTTTTGGTGCGCATCGTCGTAAGACTCGATGGACCGTTCAAAAGATGCGACAATTCTCCGCTGATTCCAAGAAAGAATCGAATCGATGATGATTGCAGCGAACATCTTTCTCTCTTCCTCCTTCAATTTTCTGTCACGGTACCCTTCGCTATCCGATAAGCTTCTTTTATTCAGTAACAGTCCAATTGTCTCATTATGCGTTTAATTACCACGAGTGCATACCGTTGTTTGTATTGAATGATCATATTGTGTCGTTGTAGTTAAACGCTCGCATAATGAAGATCACGTACAGAGATTACAATCGTGTACACGAAGCCTCGACACCTTGACCGTGGTCTCCGTGAAGGGAGGTGCGACGTAATAATTTAGTCTGACCATTGTGCGAGACAAGAATCGTCTCGGTAGGCCACGCGTACGTGATGGGTTCGTATAACGTGGAGGCACGCGGCTCGGGCTCCGGTTTGCTCGTGGGACTGACGAGACACAACCAAGCCTCCATTCAACCATCGTTGGGCTTCCCGGTACAAGTTCAGTTCACTGGAAATCACCTGCATCGCGGAATGCTAATTCTTGAATATCGCGAAACTCGCTTCCATGTGTTATGTAAAGGTACATTGATGGATAATGAGTTCTTGGAAAAGATGTATGTATCGAATATAAAGTTCATGTCGATATCTAATCTTGGAAATGTATTAATAAATTTTAATAAAATGATATATTTTTTTATATGTTTGGATAAGTTACAGCTATCTTTTACGAAAATCTAAATGATACTTTTTTCATCCGTACTTTATATACGTTGCACGGATGTCGTTTAGAATTTTTCATGTAATATAAAGCTAAATGCTACTTCGAAGATGAGAGAGCAAGAATGAGGGCGGTCGGACCGGTATAGATAAGGCTCATTGTGCGATTTCTCGGTGAAAACATCTCAGTGATTGTACTTCGGGAGAGTATCCTGTCATGTTTCAGGAACAATCGAACTCAAGTCCTGGGCGCGACACTCCAATTTCAAAAAGGAGATTGCAAAAGGCATAGTCGCGTAAGAAAAGAATGGGCTCGCAAAGGGAGACACGCGATTATTGTACGCGAATGTCCGCACGGATTGCACGCGAGAGGAAGAGCCAAATGGAATTCACTATTCCATGCGCACTCACCATGCAACTCATATGACTAGGGCGAGGGTGTTAACGAGAATTCGCCCACGTGTATTTCGCGCCATATGACGCTTCCACTCGTTCCGTTGTTAAGCCCCGGTACACCCTCGAGAGACGACGAATGCGTCCCGCCAGTAATTACTATGATAAACTGCACGCGGGAGACGCATTGACGTCCACCCCTGCAAATTTCCCCGAGCTTATTCGGCAATCCCGTTTTATGCTTTTCATTAACTTCAACTTCACGTACACGCCCGCGCCCGTAGTCTACCTGTCGCGGCAAGCTCGATCGCATAGCACTAACAGTTGTGTTTCTTTCATTGCAGCGCCGGTATATGACCAAGATACCACACAGATTGCAGAGTACGATGGAGGTATGTATATCACACCTGGTTTTGTCGCATTTAATTAACTGTCACGTACGCTAGCAATGTGACATTAATTGTAATTTGAGAAGCCGTCATACTTTAATTCAAAGTCAAAGGATTAAAAGATAATTATTATACATGATTTTTATACATTATAAAATAAAAATTTTTCTCTGAATTTTCCTAAATTGAATTTATTCGTTGCATTTCACAACAAATATAATAATGTTGCGAAAATTATAATTGCGTTGTGTAATTACGATATTTTAGAGACTCGGTATCTAATTAATGTTAAATTATTCTCTAGTCACCGCTGGATGTTACTTCAACTACCAGCGGTATCAAGAAGGCGACAGGATCATGACGAGTGAACCATGCCTGAACTGCACATGCCACAATCGGATGTTGATGTGCTACTTGAAGGTCTGCCCCTTCACGAAAGCGATCGGTCAGGATTGCACGGTGGAGAAACGTCCGGATCAATGTTGTCCCGTGATCAACTGTCCGGAAGTACCGGTTCAGTTGTTAACGTCGACAACAAGCGCACCGGCGACCTCGGACTCCACGGAAGTCGGTTTCCACGACAATTATGGCTGTCATGTCGACGAGAGGTTTTACGCAGACGGCGCTATGCTGCCGTTGGATCATCACAATCCTTGTGAGCTTTGCTACTGCATTAGAAATAGAACCACTTGCGTCATGCAAGAGTGTACTTTACGAGTGGCTGGATGTAAACCGGTCTATCAACCGGGTGTATGTTGCCCGATCAAGTACAATTGCGGTAAGTAATTGCGTTGTCCTATGATATCGCGGTGTTATTTCGTGCTGGAAAGTGCTCATAATTATTGATTCTTTGCGCAGAATACGATGAGGAACCTAGCACCACGGTTGGTCCAACTCCCGGTCTCATTATGACCACAACGCTACCTCCTGGCGTGTTACCTCAATGTTATTATGAGGATAAAGTCTACGAAGACGGCGATCTGATTTATTCCACTCAGCCTTGCCAGCATTGCTATTGCTTCCGAGGCGAAATCGCTTGCGCGGTGCAAAATTGCGGAACGCCGATGCAAGAGCATGGAAAGAATTGTACAGCCTTACCGCCACCGGAAGGAGAATGTTGTCCGACCACATACCAGTGTGGTAAGTAATTTCACGTAATAACTAATAGTTGCGATGTATTATGTAACTCAACGATCTAATAGGCGTTATTAGTCAATGAATATTACGCATTAAAAGATATGCTCGTGTATGCTTATTACAGAAGAAGAAGAAATTACCACGGTACAAGATGAAGGTGAAGAACAGCTTCCGGAACAAGTACCACGTGACCAAATTACCGAATCCCCGGCGCTGATTGACCAGGAAGATCAGCAAGTGAAGGAAGAACATCCTCAGGAGGAAATATTCCCGGGTATAGACAATAATATACCGCAAGAGGGAGAAGAAGAGAAGACTCTTGAAGGAACTATCGAACATATTACTCAGGGACCCGTTCCGTCTACCGAAAAACCTGAACAACAACCTGAAGAACAGCCCGCAACATTACCAGCAGAAGAGATAGAAACTACTACTATTGAGAAAGAATCCACTCCTTCTCACGAACATGTTACCGAAATTTCTGCTGAAATAACATCGGAAGAGCCAGGATCAGCGGAAGTGCCCTCTGAAGTAGAAACAGCAAAACCGGAAGCGCCTACGACAGTACAAGAAGCTGAAGAAAGTTTAGTTACTGAAGCACCTGCCACTAAATTACCGGAAACTTCATCTACCGCGGAAAGCTTACCAGAAGAGGTGTTAACGACAGAACATGTACCTGAAGAACACGTAAGCACAGAAGAGAATATAATTGAAAAGGAACATGGTATTTCTATTACTGAAAAGGAACAACCGATTGAACCTTCCATTACCGAAGCAACGCAGACTGAAGGTCCAATAAAAGAAGAAGAAACTACTAGCCCGCAAGAATTATCAACGCAAACACAAAAAGAGATAACCGAGGTAGAGAAAACGACAGAAGAAGAACAAATTAGCGTAACGCAAACGCCGGAAAGACCGGAGATTTTGACTGAAATCATTGAGGTAACATCGTCAACTGAAGAGCCTGGTATCAGCACTGAATCGGTCAGCAAGCAGCCAAAGGAAAGTGAAAGTAAATCAGAAACTATTCCAGGTGAATTCTTGGCAACGCAAACGGAATCACCGAAAGAAGAAGAAACTGTGACTGTCGCTCATGAGATATCTAGTACTGAACAAATCATCACTGAGAAAGAAAAAGAATCGTATCCAACGGAAACCGCTGTTACGGAAGAGATTCAATCAACTGAAGTAAGCGGTCCTTCTACAGAACAACCTGCCGAAGAACAGAAACCAGTAGTATCTGAGGTTGAAAAGGAACAACGGCCGGAAGAGACATCTGAGCATGCAATTGAAGAGCAAGCTACTGTCGCCGCTAAGAAAGAAGATGCCGGGTTGACTGAGAGTCCAGTGACGGGCGAAGGAGAATCAACTCCAGAAATTCCAATTCAAGGTCCAACTGGCATACCGATTCCCGAACGAAGCCCAGAACAGAAGGCAGAAGACCAGAACGTGTATCATGTGACGGAAGACTATCACGGTGTTACGCATTCAGAAATTAGTCCCGATAATCTTATAACTGAATCTCCGCAAAAAATACCTACAATGTATCCCCCACAGGAACAAGATACTACGCTAGCCCCATCAGAAGGAACTATAAAACCGATTGTGACGGAAGGTGCTGAAGTATCGACGGAAGGAACCACGAAGCCGATACTAGAACAAGCTACAGAAATAAACTTATCAACTCAGCGTAAACCTGAAACCACTACAATCTCTGAAGAAACGAAAACGGAAAGCACACCTGCTGTCATCGAAGTTCAGGCTAGCACGGAATCTTCTGCAACTACTATCGCTCAAGAAGTATTAGAAGAAGAAGCTAAGAAATCTAGTGTGCCAGAAGAGACGGGAACTAAAATACCACAAACGGAAATTCAATTAACAGAAAAGACTCCCAGTAGTGAGGAAATTTCTACAGAAGGACCTAGCGTCGAAGAATCTAGTGAAAGTTCTGAGGAAATCAGTGGCGAGAAAGGTGAGAAAGAAGTGCAACCAAAGAAGGAAGAGAAAATAGAAACGCAACCTCCAATCGTAACAGAACCAGCTTCCGAAACACCCGCATCAATCCCAGCGGAACATTCGACAGTGCCTTCGGATCTTGAAAAAGAACATGCTACGGAAGGTGAACATGTTACTACTGTAAGTCCTTCTGAGCAATCAACGCACGTGCCAACGCAAGTCGAAGAGAAAGAAACTGAAATAGTTCCTGTTGAAAAAGAACCAGTTACTGAAAAACCAGTTGAGGAACGTGTTACAGAACATCCCGTTGCAACACCAGGCATAACTAGCGAAGAAGAAAAAGAATTACAAACCGAAGAACCTGTTTTGAAAGAGGAGCAAACCACGGAAGCGATAAAGACGATAGAAGCTGAAGAAAAACTTACAACGCAGATACCTGCCGTCGAAGAAAGAATAACTGAGCAACCTGAACAATATTCTACAGAGAAAGCTTTGGAAGAAGTTGTTACAGAAAGCCATGGTCCGGAGGAAATAAGTACGAAAGACGTGTCAACAGAAAGTGCAGAACAACAAACTGCAATAACGATAACAGAAAAAAAACCATTTAAGGAAACTGTAGAATTAAAACCAACGGAAGTTACTCCAATTGAACAAACAGAATTGCCCGTTGAACATCCCACCGAGGCAGGTGAAATTGAAAAAGAAGGTGAAGAAAAGATTTCTGTGCCTGTATCCACGGAGGAAGTGCAAACAGAAATTCCTGCAGTTGAAATTGGAGTCACTGAGACAACGGCCGTGGAAATAGAAAAGACTGAGCCATCTGTCAGCGGAGAATATATACCAAGTCAGCCTTCGATTCCTTCAGATCGCAAGGAGGATCAGGGACCTATTGAACCAGAACAAATAACGCAGAAACCAGAAAAAGAAATAACTGAGACGCCCGAAGAACCACAGAAGCCGACAGTTCCTTCTGAAGAGGAAACATCTCATATTCCATCTTTGGAAGCTGTTGTTACCGAATCTGTTCTGCCCGAAGAAAAACCGGCCGAGGGTAGCACAACTGAATCTGCTGCTGTTAGCGAAACTGTTATACCGGAACAGCCTGAAATATCGAGCGAACAACCGGAAAAAGTCGCAACCGAACCATCCAGACAGGAGGAACAAACTCAGGGACCAATCACTGAGGAACAGCCAGAGGTACATGAAACATCCAGTCCTGTACCTCACGAAGAGTCTTCCATAATTCCAGAAATTCCTGAAAGACCAGTTGAAGGCGAAGAAGTTAGTAAGACAACCGAAATCGCAGAAGGAGGTACGACAGTACCAGTATTAATTTCTGAGGCATCAACTGAGCTGCCTGGATTTGAAGAAGCTACGAAGCCCGAAGTTCTTATCGAAAAGGAAATTACACCTGCGACTGAATCTGTATCTCCAGAAAAAGAGCAACCGGAAATACAAGAGCAAGTCACGCAACCATCGATAAAAGAAGAAATACCAAGTAAGGAAAAAGATGAAACAACAGGCCCAGTTGAAATATCCACTGAAGAAAGTATAACTCCTGAAACATCTGAAGTGCCGATTATTAAAGAACAACCACAGAAACCCGAAGAAGAAGAAATTATTAAAAAAACTACCATCACGGAGGTGCCTGTTCATGAAGAAAAAGAGGAATATTCAACGGTTGCTCCAAAAGAAACACCTGAGGTGACAATTATTACTGAAATACCACCAAAGGGAGTACTTCAATATACAACGAATATTCCTGAAGAGACTTCTGTAGAAGGAGAGAGTACGTCGGAGATCGTGCCTCGTCCAGCGGGTATTCCAGGAGAAGGTAACTGTCTCGTTGAAGGACAATCTTATAGCAATAATTCGGCGGTTCCACCGGCAAACGCGTGTCAGACCAGTTGTCGTTGTATCAGCAGCATTGTACAATGCGAACTCGTGCAATGTCCTGCCCCGCCAACGCACCTATCGAATTGCATGCCAGTTCACACGAACGGAGAATCTTGCTGCCCAATGTACGCTTGTGATTTCACACCGACTGACAAATTGGAATCTGACAGTCATGTAATCGAACCTCATGTTCCCGAAGCAGAAGGAGAAATTCAGAAAACTGTCCCGCCTACGGAGATATCAACAGAAGCTGCGGCAGAATCGAGTACGTTAGCTGGTGAGATTAGTACGCCAGAATCACGACCCGTGGAAATTACTGTTACCCCATCTGAAGAAGAGATAGCAACTGAGAGGCAGCAGACCACTCTCAAACCTACTGAAATAGTTTATGAACAGCCAACTACACTTAGGCAACCTATCGAGCAATATCCTGAGGAACAAACCATTAGTCCGGTGTCTGAAACATCACAAGAATCTGCCAGTCAAATACCCGAAGAAGAACATACCGTGCTACCTAAGGTAGGAGAAACTACCGAAGGCAAAGTTATCGAAGAAGGTATAACAGAATCAGGAGCTTCGACCGAGCAACCGCAGGAGGAGATTGGGGAGAAGCAGGTTACTGTTAGTGGCGAAGTAATTACTTCCACGCATGTACCTATAGAACAGGAACCTCACGCCACCGAAGAAACTGTTACAATTCCAAAAGAGAAAGAGACTTCTGTTCCTGTCGAAGTAGAAGTTACGACCATAGCCGCTGGTAAAGATGAAGAAACTATTACGCCAACCAAAGAGGAGAAACCTACTGAGGATAAAAGTATCGAAGAACAACCTACGCTTAAACCAATTGAAGAAATCGAAAAAGAACAACCAGAAGAAGAAAAAATTCCACTAAAGCCAACCTCTGAAGAACCTGTTATTGTTGAGGAACACGAAATATCTACAAAACCGGAAGAAATTGTGACAGGAAAACCAGAAATTTCAGAGGAACAACAAACTGTCAAACCAACCGAGTATGAGAGTACTTCCGTTCTTGAAATTCAGTCGACGACTGAGTATAAACCCGAGAGTGAAATAAAACAAGAGACAGTCACATTAACTGAAACTGAAGCACCAGAAGCCCAAACAAAATTGCCTGATATCGTTCCAAGCGAAACAGAAACACAAAAGCCAATTATACCTGTTGAATCAACGACATTGATACATGATCATACGGTAACTGAGGGGGCGCCGATAGAGGAATATACGACTATAAAATCCTTGGAAGTTTCTACGGAAGAAAGCACGAAGACGGAGCCGGGAATTTCAACTCAAGCTCCTGTAATTGAAGAAGAGCACGTTACCATTCCTGTCTTGCCTGTTGAATTGCCTGGTAAGGAAACCACCACTAAACTAGTCGAAGAATCTACTCCTGCAATTTCCCATGAAGAAGTATTGCCAGGAATAACGGAAAGCGCAATAGAAAAAGAAACTACAGAACACGCTGAAAAGCATACAGAACCATCGGTTACAGAACCATCAGAACACGAAGAAGAACCATTAGCCACAAAATCTCCTGAAGAAAAACCATTCGAAACTGAATCTCCAGTCATAACCGAGGAACCAGCCAAAACTACTGAAGCAGAAGCAGAACATGAAAAACCTACTGAAACCATCGTTCCTCACGAACCAGAAAGTACGCCAGTCTCGGTTGAGAAGCATCCGGAAACTACACCAGAAATTGAATCTCATACGCCTGAATTACCTACCGAAAAACCCACTATAGTCGAAGAAATATCAACAGCGTCTGTATCTGGAGAAGAAGCTGGCGAGCAAGCCACTACATCGATCGTAAAAGAAACTGAGCCAAGTCTGAGCGAAGTGACTAAACAGCCGATTATTCCAGAATCCAAAACACCAGTTGTAGAGGAAGAACACGTCACCGTCCCGATCGAAGAACAAACTCCGAAATCCGAGGAGTCTCCTGTCGAGGAACAGACTGTTGCTTCTCCTAGTCCCGGTGAAGAAGAGATAACAGAGAGTGGTGTTTTGACAGAAGTGGCCGTACCGGTAACGAGTCAAGAGGAACAGACAACTGAAAAGGCTATCGATATTGTCAAACCAGAAACGCAATTGCCCGATTTAACGGAGGAACATACCGTTATTCCTGAAATTTCCAAGGAAGAGCAGAAACCTGAAATTGGAATAACGGAAGAACCTGGTAAAGAGGAACCGACTACGATTCCGGAACTAACGGAAGCGGACAAGAAAGAAACGGAAGAAGCTGTTAAGGAGGAAGCTGTGACGCCTGCTAGTACTACAGAGTACAAACAAGAAGAAATTGAACCAGTTGTGAAAATTCAAGAACCAATAGAAACAACGACTCTTCCAAAAGAACAGAAACCAGAAAAGGACAGTCAAGTTACCGAGGCTAGTTCACCGGAACATCCAGTGAGTGAAGAAGCGACAACTGTGGCAAGTTTGATACCCGAAGAACATCCAACGATACCGGTAAAGACAGAAGAACAAAGCACCCTTGAACCTGAATATCAGACAACGTTATCTACTGCAGAAGAAGAAGTATCGAAACCAGCGACTGAGATTAGTGGAGTGGAGAAACTTTCACCCGAAGGAGAAACCGTTACAATTGAAAGTACGGAGAAGCCGGAAGAACCTGTTACGAAACTCGAAGTAAGTTCAACTGAAAAGCCTGAAGAAGTTCCATTCGAAACGGAAAAGCCGGCTGAACCAGAACAGGGAACAGAGTCGCCCGAACAAGGTGAAACTACTACGAAAATAATTGAGAGTGCAGTGACAAAAGAAACATTACCGGAAGAAGTGGTTCCAGTTGAAGTGACTCCAAAAATTGAAGAGAAACCAACAGAAGTTTCTACAATAGAAGGAGAAGAAGAAGCACATGTTACGGAACCTATTTCAGTTGAAACGACTTCCGTTCATGAGGAAGAACAACCATCGATAATCAAATTACAGCCTACTGAAAGGCCTCTTCCTTCTGAGGAAGAAACTCCTGCGGGAGAAATTCAGCCTAGCCAACCTGAAGAAGGAGGAGAGGCTCATCCAACTGTACCCGAAGAGAGTCATCCGAGTACAATTGAAGAACCTCAGTTTACCACGGAACATGCGCCCGAAGAAGTTATTACGATAAAAGCAGAAGAACAGCCAGCAACTTCTTCAGAAGCTGTCACTACTGTTGAGGGTCCAATCAAGGTTTCTGATGTGAAACCAACTGAATTGCCTGAGGAGACAGCTACCGTCGGACCGGTAGTACCAGAAGAACCTGAATCTCAGATCCCGATAAAGTCCGAAGAAATTCCGCAACCGGAAACTCCAATCGAGGAACCTATCATAAAGACGCAGCCGTTACCTACGGAATTACCAAGCGGAGGCATTACGGAAGAAATTCCCGAAGAGGAACCTATTCATCCACAAGAAGGCGAAAGTCATCCTCACATCGTTGACCATTTCCCGGAGGCTACTCCGAAACCTGAGACCGATTATAATTTCCCCGAGCAAAGACCGGCGACCACCTTGGCTCCCCATATTCCGGAATACCCTGATCAACCCGGAATATCGGGCGAGGACACTCATTTCCCCATGCCCGGTGGTAGCTATCCGAATCCCGACGACGATTATGGCGAGGAGGATTATGGTGGACCAGGCACCTGTCGATACGGCGGCAAGGTCTACGTTTCAGCGCAACAGATACCCAGGGACGACCCGTGCGACTTCTGTTTCTGCTTCAGGAGCGACATTATCTGTCTTCAACAGAGCTGTCCACCGCCTATTCCGGGCTGTCACGAGGAACCGATCAGCGGTTTTTGCTGCCCCAGATACGAGTGCCCTGTATCGATGGCCACGGCTCTTAATTTGACCACTACCACCACCACGACTACGACCACGTTACCACCGCTTTTCCATCCGCACGCTTACAAAGGTTCCGCGAGACGAAGTGGCTGCCAGGTTCGTGGCCAGGCCTATCGAGTAGGAGAAGTTATTAAGTCGGCGTCTGGACCCTGTCTCCGCTGCATGTAAGTTTATGAAAAAATATTTCTCTATATATTCCCTACACTGAGAAAAAAATATTTAGATATGCTGCCAATAGCTTATTTACTTATTAATATAATACACATATTTATTTAGAATTAGATAATTTTACTTAATTTAAATAAAAATATTTAATTCTAAATAAATATGTGTATTATATTAAGTAAATAAGCTATTGGCAGCAATCTAAATAAACATTTTTTTTCTCAGTGCAGTTACCTCTCTATAAATTGCCTTTTATATTATATATTACTCTATATTTTATATATTACTCTATGCGTGTTATTTCTAAAATAACCTAACGCGAATTGTTGCAAAATTTTAGTTGCGGAGGTGACGGTAACATGAATTGTGACCCACGAGTATGCAGTCCGGAACCGATGCTGAGGCAAATGATTGCTGCGACTACAGATGCCAAGAGGAGGAGATGAGCCGCCGAGTTAAATCATGGGATTCATCTCTACAAGGAAGCACATAGGACGAGCACGAGGACTAAAAAATCGACAGCAGGAAAAAATCCAGTGTTGTATAAAAGTGAATTAAAATTATTCTAAACTGTCTAAACGTCGCGCGAAACACAGACAATAGTGTGCTTCGGCGATCACGAACTGAGTGGCCAAAACGTAAACGTTTATATTAATAATATTATATTATGTTATATAAAAAGAGAAAGAGCGACGGGGTGAGAGAGAGAGAGAGAGAGAGAGAGAGAGAGAGAGAGAGAGAGAGAAAGTGAAAGAGAGAAAAAGAGGAAGGAAGAAAGCAATAATACCGGTCAAAGAATCGTAGGAGATTAATTGTGTATCGGTGCTAATATGCGAACACGGAAGAAAAAAGCAGCGTGAATGTAAAAAATACAGGCAAAAAAAGAAGAAAAAAGAAAAAAATCGTGATAATTACCGCGTTCTATCTCGCGTGGGATATTTTATACATGCCCTAAAAAGACAAGAAAGAGAGGAAATTACTGAACGTACGAGACTTATGACTGTGCCTTTGTCAGTGTCGAATATCAGCGGCACTGCTTTCGTTTCGGCAACGAGCGCCGTCCGCAGCCACGGTCATCGTCGTCGGTATTAATAAAAAAAAAAGAAAAAAGAAACACGAAGAAAGAGAGAGAGTTGCAATCGGCGACTCCTAGGTGACGGGAGAAAAAGAAGGTGAGAAGAAATGTGACGAATGCGTTTTATACGACGCACATAAAACGAAAAAAAAAGAAAGAAAAAAGAAGAATAAGAATAGAAAGAAAAATTTAATGCGCCGACCGAATGGGTCACGCAGTGATACTGAAACAGCGGAGGATTCGTATATGAATCGTACGAAGGATACCTCGATTCGCAAATCGTCTAGCATAGCTAGAAGCTTTTTTAAATGTTTTTTTCTACCGCAAACTATACATACGTCCACGGTATCCCTCCTACGACGTAACGCCGTAAATTGGGAAATATGGGAGAGAAATGAGATTACGATATCCGCGGCATGTCCTCACGGCTTTTACGGTGTCACTGCGACAATCTTAAGCGACGACGATATATGTCATTATTTGCTACGCGTGTTCTGAATCGTTTATTCAGCTGCTACGTGTGCCCCGATGATCGGGACACATTACTCAAGTTTGCTGACGTTCACGCGCACTCGGACACGATCGAGATTAATGGATCGGCATAACCAGAGCCGGCCGTGCTTCCAGTATTTTTAAGCCGCGAGGATCCAAAGATCCTTTTCTTTTCAAGGAAGAACTTTCGATCGAGCCATCTTTTTTTCTTCTTTTTTCAATCGATCCGTCAATACCATACATATATAGTGCCAACGATCGTATCCTAGTGCGCGCGCGAGTATGTGTATGTGCGTGAGTGTGATGCATGTGATATGTTAAAGAAGAGAGAGAAAGAGAGGGAGAGAGAGAGAGAGAGAGAGAGAAAAAGCCAGAGAGACGAAAGATACACGCATCTCAAAGCTCAAACAGCGGCTCGCGCGGAGGACCGATCCGAGAATTTGCTTCTCCGGCGAGCTGGCGTCATTATACATAAATATAGATATAAATATATATATAAATATATATACATTTATATAATTCTTTATATACACTGTACCCTCCTCTGATAATAATACTTAATGATAACGATGTTCTATACGTTTGTACGAAAGTATAGCTATTAAGAGAACGAGATGAGAGATAATCGCCTGTACCGGTTCTCCAGTCTCAAAGTATTGCGTTAGAAAAGAGAAAACGATAAGAACTTTCGGGATCTCTTTCCAAGTCAATTATTTATCTCGGTAGCGATGATACTCGACTCGCACGATCGTCGTCTAATAACGAAAGCAACGTCACGCTTTGAGACTCTGGAACTCTGTGGGCTCTCTTTAGTGTAATTGTAATAAATAGAACGAATGTTTTATATATATATATATATATATATATATATATAAATTGTCGCACGAAATACTGCGCATACTGTCTGTATAATAATCGAACGAAGACGAGTCAACGTTCGGTCTTCCTGATATCAGCGGCCCGTTAATCCTAGTTACTCGTTTATTAATAACTAAGCCCGTATCTGCCCCTCCGGGAGAACAGCTTCTTGCGAAGAACTATTATGAACGTGTTTTTCCTCTTTTTCTTCACGTAAAGGATCTCTTTCGACTTGAAAGACCAACGTATTCATGGAGCTTCCACGACAACTTGATCGTGATATACAAAGTGGCCATATTATTACTGTCACTGTTCTCAGACGTGAATGAAACAAATCTCTCATGCAATAATCGATAATAAATCTTTTGATATACGAAACGTTTTTGTGTTTTATGATTATAATGAAGTTACAAAAATGATAAGCGCGCTGCGACGTTCTCGTGGAGAAAAAGTTGAGCCGAAAGTTTTCAAGTAATCGTATATAAACTTTTGTAAATCTTTTCACAATCGGGCGAATGTACGTTCGAATAGGTCGAGAAGAGAGAAAGTATCGGTGTCATAACTCTCAATTAACTGAGATAACGTTGACGAAATAAGCGCGCGATTTTCGTGCTTGTCTTCCATCGAGATGAAAATTTATCACGCCGGCGAGCAACGCGAAAGTAACTAAAACCTATTTGCTCAAGGCTCATTGAAAGTTTATACGTGGTTGTAGTCGAGTCAGTTCTTCCCAAGCCAATATTCACTAGCGATTGTAGTCCAAACCTAGTATTTATATCTCGATATCAACCCTTTTCCTCTTCCCCTCAATCATAGCGAGATCATTATAATAATCGAAGGTAAATATGAGTGTCGAGTGTTTACGATAAGTACGATATTATGCATGTAGGCGTAAGGTGGACGTACCGTGCTGGATATACGTAGAACGCATGTAAGACTAGCGTTAAAGACAGGCCGGGTGGCAGCGAGGAGTCCGCACATATCTACGTACGCATCAAAGCGCACGAAGCGACCAATTCCTGTTTGTTCAGCATCAACTGCCTCAGCGTGATCGAACGATCGAAGGTTCTCACGTTGGGAGACTTTCTCGCGATCCGACATGATCACTGTGACGGAAGGCTTTGAATCGGTATGCTCGCGCATAAGCGCGTATAATCTAATACAGCGCGTGGCGCGGTTGACGAAATGACGAGGGACGCTTGATCCTTCCGACGGATTTCTCGACGCCTCTTTTTTACACGTGAGTACGATCGCAGTCGCGAGCTGCTATGCGGAATGTAACTCGACATCGTTCGCCGCGTATTATACTATGTGATAAACGGGATAAATGAGAGCGAGCCGGGAAAGAGAAAGAGAGAAAGAGAGAGAGCGAGAGAGAGAGAGAGAGAGTCCCGGCGGTGTCGACTGTATGGAAATAGGCTATAGGTTCGACAGTACGTGCTAGTATAAAGTGTCCTTTTATATGAATAAAAGATTTTGTATGTCAACCCTGTGTATCTCTGTGCGCCTCGTGCATTTTGTGCAAATAACCTGCCGTTCAAAGATTTTAGTTTCACCGAAAATAATATAACAGAAAGTAATAAAAATAATATTAACTATTTTATAAAATTTAATTAAATCGCTTTGCAATACTTGGCAATTAAAGGTAAGACTGCATATCTTGCGGTGAGGCATTATCAATTTGCTTTTCAGTATAAAAAAAAAAAAAAAAAAATCTGACTTACCAACCCGATGCGCAACAGGCGGAGTTACTCAGCCACGTAGCTACGATGATACTGTAACATACAAACATGAAGTTTAAATTAAAGAAGCGCTTAAAATAATCAACATTTCAAAAGATAATTCTTAATTCATTATATTGGCCTCTAAGTTATCTTTCAATAAAATATTTAACAATACAATTACTGTTTACCGAAAAAGATCTTTATAAGAATAAAATTTTAGATAATTGCTCTGTCTTTAATTACTTTTAACTTATCGAAATGAAACAATTCGAATAAATAGAAACGAATTATCAATTTTATGTAGCTAAGAGGTGATACTTACCCCAAGGTTGCTCCGCCGGTGCCCGATGTCTCTCTCGGACCTCCTCCTCCTCTCAGAACGTTAGGTCTCTCCTCCTTTCTCCTCTCACCGCACAGGACACTCGCGAGAAACACTCGCGGATAACAAATTACAATCGCGCGCGGACTAATTATCAGCAAAAGTCTTTCTCGCGCGATGATACTGTACGGCACTCCCATTTATAAAGCCCATGAGAAGAATATTCCGTCAAGTACGCCGTAATATTCTTCAAATATAGGCTTTGAAAAAGTCTTTTAGTCCGAATACTTGTATACGGCACTCTCGAAACAAACGCGACGAACCGGCTGCGGTTCGCTTCAATGAAATCGGCGGACGGAGGGTACTTTAGCTTCCCCGTCTTTGGATTTTTATCCAAGCAGAACGAGAGTTTTGCTTGGGCAAAATCCTCGTACTGGGTACTGGGTCTTCCCACCTTGCCAAGGTCGTACTCATGAGGAAGGAAATACTTTACTCTGTAATATAAAAGCAGATAATATAAAATTAAATTATATAAATATGATATATTTCCTAAAATGATTTCACATTTTCTAACACGGATTTTTCGGGAAAATTTGAAAGAATCGCGACGCCGATTGCCCCGATTCGTTCTGCGTTCATCACCGCGTTACGTTAATGACGACGAAATAATGTTCGAAGATGTCGGTAACTTACTGGCGCGACACCACGCGAATCAAGTAGACGGCTAGTAAAGACACGCAGTTAATTAATCAAAAATACAATAAAAATTAAATATCGCACGCACAGTACGGGTTCGAGCACGATAAATCTCGCGAATGTAAAACTGTACTATATATTAATACCTCGCACGAGAAGTCGCGGATTGTTAACTTATATACGCGCGGCACGACGAAATACACGAAAATAAGAAATATTAATGAACTGGTGTTGTACGTATCACGGCGCGTGCTATTACTCGAATTACTCGATAGGATTTCACGTTGTCACTCTTTTCGAAAAGAATCGGAGATAGCTCGCATTACAATTCCGGCACAGCGTTCATGCAAAGCACGACACGTCGAGACTGTCGAGAGTCCAGATGGTGGCGAGACCGCGAGACGAACGATTATCGCCCGTGAATGCACAACGAAACGGCAAATCACTCACAAATCACATAATTACAATTGCAATTGCCATACCTTTGCCTCGATGCGGACGTCTCCGTCTCGAGCGATTCACACGACACATTCCGATTAATTCCGACACTGTCCGACAGACACTTTCGATACATTGCGAATTCTTGAGCGCGTAGTCGATTATTCCCGCAAAACGAGGAGCAGGAGTGCCAATCGCAGGAAAAAGCGCGTTCCGAAAAACACACAGCTGACAGCACCCACAGCCATCAGCACTGAGCACGGCTACGGACAAACGCATGGAGCAGCGTGAGCATGAGCACGAATACTTCACAATAACTGGCCGAAATTTACCGGGAGAATGACCGAATGATTTCCGCAGGTAACGATACTCCGAACACCGAAGAAAACAAGCGGCAAGGCCGCTCACCGACAAGCACAATCGATCGCGCGCCGACCTCGAAGGTACGTTTGTCTGGTTACTGTCGCTGCGCCGCGCCGCCGCGCCGGCGGCTCGGAGCGGCGGGACGTGATTGGTCAGATCCGGGGGCTCGACTCGCGAGCCAATCGCCTTCGAGTCTCGCCCGACCGTGCGGCGGCAACGGCGCGCGCAAGCGGCGCAAGTAATACACGACATGTTCAACGTCGGTGCGAGACGTTGTCGGTCCTGTAATTTCCTTCTCGTGAACGAGAAGAAATAATTTGGTTACAGGGTGTTGCAAGCTGAACGTACGCCGGATATTCCGTTCCTTCTTCGTGTCGACTGAAACGAGTGAGATGCCGTCGCTAGACGAAATGAACGTCGAATGCCGTGCTGGACGCCGTTGTACATATCACCCTGCCGGCTATGATTTGGCGGGTCTCCTGCAGTGCGCCGACGCTGGTGATTGAATGGTGAGTGAATTATACATATGTTAGAAATAAATGATTCGTAGCGCGATATACATCTGAATCTTAATGGAATCGTTATTCCGCGTGTCGCAGTGAAACGATCGTGTCGATAGACGTCAATTCGACGGTCATTTCTCACTGGGGATAACCTCGGAATTCACATCTCCTGTCTCCGGGCTCTTTTTCGGTTTCTTCGAATGAGTGAATCGCGCGGGAAGACACTTCAATAATGAATAACTTTTGAACCTCTCGTGCGGGAATTAATAATTAATTAAGTGATTGAAGAGAACGATCGCGCGTTTGACATTCGCATTTTGCTTGCCGCGATCGCAATAACGATCGCGAACGAGGGAGCATGCTCCGAAATGCGTATATGAATATCGAGTATGAATAAATTGTATCGTTTGTAAAAATTTCGTCGCAATCGTTCTTGCAGCGCGGTGATCGCGCATACCATAAAAGACGATAAATCGTCGTCGTCAAGATACTTAAAAATTATAAAACATTCTCTGTTGCTTGTTCCTCAAATATTATTCGTTTTGCTTACAAAATTTTCCATAAAGGATAAAGACCTAATTGTCTTGTATTCGAATATTTAAATTGATAAGAGTTTGAGTTGTTTGAAGTTTCGTCGAGTTTATATTAGGGCTGCCAACATCAGGAAACGAATTCTACATTTTCGCCGGCTACGCAAGCAGATTCTGCTAAAGATAAAGGTATATACGGAGAGATATTGCTGTTTTATGCGGATTGTCCAAGAGACAAATAAGCGAAAATGTAAACGTACGCTTCTGTAAAATAAACGCAGTAGGAGAGGCGTAACTGGAAAAACGTTTCAAGTCGGTAATCGCGAATATCGGGTGAAGGGTTACGTTCCTAGACGAGCGCGCGTTGGCAACGCGTGTTTTGACGCATTGTCAAAGTGGTGATATATCTCTCGGTGTTTGCGCTGACAAGAGACATCGTGTTCCGCGATTTTTCGAACGAGATACGCGAAGGAATCGTTGTCAACGAGCGATGGAGGCCGGTGCGAGTACGGGTACTCGTACGACGCGTTTTATGATGGAGGGCGTCGGCGCCCGAGTGATTCGTGGACCGGAATGGAAATGGGGAAAGCAGGTTAGAACTGAGAGGTTAACTGAGTTAAACGCGATATTTTCCGGAGCACGCGATACTCTCCTTCCGCGGAATTACTCGCGACAAATGCTCTCCCGCTCTCCCTATCTTGTGACGACAATTCGAAAATTTTTTCGAAAAAAATGTGTCTGTAAAAGACTAACTTAGTTTGGTGTAAGGTTACTCCGATATTGTTTATTTCATGTAACATTTCGTAAATAATTGCATCACAGGTGCATTGCGTATTTACTTAAATTACCATTAGGTTTTACAATATTATGTATAAAATATATGTAATTTTTAATGGGCAGATAATTGTACAATAATAGGAGTAACATCTGTATTTGGAGTCATGTATATTTTACTGGCAAGCATAGCCATATTGTTAGAAAGATTTCTTACATTAGCAACAGAGATCTAAAGGGTATTTTAATTATTATGGTTGTATCGTGTTTAATAGGATGGTGGAGAAGGTCACGTGGGTACCGTCAGAAATTTTGAATCGCCAGAAGAAGTTGTGGTTGTCTGGGATAATGGCACAGCAGCTAATTATCGATGTTCCGGAGCCTTTGATCTGCGTATACTGGATTCTGCACCAACAGGAGTGAAGCACGATGGCACAATGTGCGACACTTGTCGCCAGCAGCCTATCTTTGGAATAAGGTGGAAGTGCGCTGAATGCGGCAACTACGATCTTTGTTCCATTTGCTACCATGGGGATAAACATCACCTGCGACACAGATTTTTTCGTATTGCTACACCAGGAAGTGAAAGAGTTTTGCTAGAACCTCGTAGAAAAAGCAAAAAGGTATAAACAAGGATGACTCTCAATTTTATTATTTGGAAATCACTTATTATGTTGTGTTTTGTTAATTAATATTTTAATATAGATTGCAATTCGTGGTATATTCCCTGGTGCAAGAGTTGTTCGAGGTGTGGATTGGCAGTGGGAAGATCAAGATGGTGGGAATGGTCGTCGCGGAAAAGTTAATGAAATACAAGACTGGTCTGCAGCTAGTCCACGCTCAGCGGCTTACGTTATTTGGGATAATGGCGCTAAAAATTTGTATAGAGTCGGTTTTGAAGGAATGGTTAGTATTATAACATTAATTGTTTTATAATAAAAATAGCTTTATATTGATATATAATATATAATATATATTTCAGGCTGACTTAAAAGTGGTTAATGATGCCAAAGGACAAACAGTATACAGAGATCATTTGCCATTATTAGGTGAGCAAGGTCCAGGCCGAACGGGACCTCATGGACTGCAAATTGGTGATCAGGTGAATAGTTTATTCTTTATTTACAATTTGTTACGCAC